CAATATAAAGAGGAGATCACAAATTTACGTGGTTCGACAGATAAGTCTGTCTACATCCACGGGGCAAGTACACGGAACTCACTTGTATAACAGGAGAAATTACAACGCACACCCCTCAACCTAACAAACACCAAACAAGGTCGCACTCTCAACCGTGAATCTTTTCTCGGTACAACTCTCACAATCACGGAGATATCGACACCCAAGATTCCCTTACAAGAGATAACCCAGGACCCCCAAGTTCTATTTCACCCGAACGTAGAGAAAAACAGAGGAATAACCCAAAGCACATTAACTCTTAACTCTGTTTCCTCTGTCTCTCTCTCCTTCACACGTTCCCAAAGAAGTAGAGGGGTGGTTGTACGCACTAAAGTAGTGGAGGAGTGGCATCGACAGTTACTCCCTATTTTTTAGGTGTCACATTCTCCCACTTGAAGACTATTCTCGAATAGGCTTCACGGCTCCGATTTGCCCAACCATCACCAATCAAGTGATAACTACAAGCCCAAGAGAAGTTCTCGCACCATAAAAACTTCTCTCTCGCAATAGGCTTCGTCGGACATCCGATACGTTGTCGTTGGTGTGAATTTTCTGCAAAGAGATAACTCCATCTTCCACTACATCACGAATAAAATGGTACCTGACATCAACGTGTTTCGTACGAGAGTGAAACATTGGATTAACGGCCAAATGTAATGCACTCTGACTATCACAATGAATAGTGATGACTTTCTGTTTGATTCTTAGCTCATCAAGCAATCTCTTCAACCAAATGCCTTCTTTACAAGCATCTGTTGCTGCGATGTATTCAGCCTCTGTAGTAGATAATGCCACCACAGATTGTAACTTAGACATCCAACTAATTGCTCCACTAGCTAAAGAGAAACAGTACCCAGTGGTAGATCTTCGTCTATCACGATCTCCCGCAAAATCTGCATCCACAAATCCAACCAACTCAAATTTTGGCTACTATAATGAATAGCCATATCGGAGGTACCCTTCAAGTACCGAAGGATCCATTTCACCACGGTCCAATGATCTCGACCGGGTTTGCCATGTACTTGCTGACTGCTCCCACTGCTTGCGCAATGTCTGGTCTGGTGCAGACCATGGCAAACATAAGACTCCCTACTGCCGACGCATACGGTACTCGAGCCATCTTTGTCTTCTCTGCTTCTGTGCTAGGACTTTGTTCAGAAGACAGTTTACAACCAATAAGAAGTGGGGTGTTAACTGGTTTGGCGTTCTGCATATTGAAGCGCCGCAGAACCTTTTCCACATAGCTCTTTTGAGTTATCCAGATCTTCCTATTTTCACGATCTCTGAGTACGGTCATCCCAAGAATTCGGTTTACGGCTCCCAGATCTTTCATATCGAATTCCCTAGCCAAACGAGCTTTGAGGTATGCAATACCTTCTTTCAAGTACCCGCAACTATCATGTCGTCAACATACAACAACAAGATTATAAAGCCACCATTACCATGATTGCGAACATAGGCACAATGGTCGCTTTCACATCTTTTGAACCCCAAACTCATAATGAAAGAATCAAATCGCTTATACCAAAGATCTTGGCGCCCGCTTCTAAGCCATAAAGCGATTTGTTCAGTCGACAAACCAAACTCTTCTTGTTCTCTTCAATAAAGCCTTCAGGTTGAGTCATAAAAATTTCTTCATCAAGATTTCCATGCAAAAAGGCTGTTTTTACATCCAACTGCTCAAGCTCTAAGTCAAGCACAGCTGCCACACTCAACACAGTACGAATAGTAGTTAGACGAACAACTGGAGAAAAAATTTCATTAAAATCGATACCTGATTTCTGAGCATAACCTTTCACCACTAAACGAGATTTATATCGTTCAATATTTCCGTTATTGTCTCTTTTCAACTTGTAGACCCACTTGGAACCGATAGCCTTTCGTCCTTCAGGTAACTTGACAAGATCCCAGGTTTTGTTTTTGTGTAAAGCCTCCATTTCCTCCTCCATAGATGCCCTCCATTGAGGAGCATTACTGGACTCACAAGCTTCTTGATATGTACAAGGCTCTCCCTCTTCAGTTATGCAAGCGAAAGTTGTCACATAATCATTTAGCCAAACCGGAGGTCTAGTAGTCCTCCTATGAGGTCCTTGGTCACCCCGAGTTTCACTACCGCCTTATCCGTATGCTCTCTATCGCCTTCATCTCCACTAGCTTCATCGATCGCTCAAATGTTCTTCAAATTGATTTTGAACTTCTTTTGATGATTCAAGTTCAAATATTTGTGACAAGTCAGCATTTGGCGTTTCTTTGTCTTTTTGCAACGAATCTTCATTGAAGACGACATCTCGGCTAATAACGACTTTGTGGGTAGTAGGATCCCACAATCTGTACCCCTTTACACCTTCTGCATAGCCAAGAAAAATACACTTTCTGAACCTCGCTTCAAGCTTTGTCCTTTGCTCTTTGGGAACCCACATATAAGTATCACAACCAAAAGTACGGAGGAAAGAATAGTCAACAGTTTTTCCAGACCATACCTCTTCTGGAATCTGTCCATTAAGAGCAGTTGTTGGGGAACGATTCACTATGTAACATGCCGTACATACAGCTTCACCCAAAAACTCTGCTTCATACCAGCACAGCTCAACATACTTCGAGTACGATCCATTAGCGTACGATTCATACGCTCGGCCACTCCATTTTGTTGTGGAGTTCTGGGGACCGTGAAATGTCTTTGAATGCCATGCTCGCTGCAAAAATCTAAGAACTCTTGCAGCATATATTCTCCTCCATTATCGGTTCTGAAACACCTTATTTTTGTTCCTTTCTGATTTTCTACCAACGCTTTAAATTTCTTGAAAGAAGCAAAAGCATCACTTTTCCTTTTAAGGATGTAAACCCAAACTTTTCTGGAAAAATCATCGATAAATGAAATAAAGTACTTTGCACCACCCAAAGACTCATCAAGAGACTCCCAAATGTCAGAATGTATCAAGTCTAAAATATTCTGACTTCTTGCTGTGGAACGACAAAAGGGAGTTCTATGAAACTTTCCAAACTGGCAATCTTCACAAAATTCTAAATTAATAGTCTTTAAACCAGGGAAGAAGACCGCGATCAAGAAGTACCTTCAGTCCTTGCATGCTCATGTGTCCCAAACGCCCGTGCCGAGATAGTTGCCGACTCACACAAGATTTGCAACTATGGCTTCACCGACTATGGTCTCTCCAATTAGCTTTGTATAAACCGCCTATTAATTCTCCTTTCGCCACGATAAGTGCTCCTTTGACGATCTTAGCTCGTCCCTTTTCCGAATAATTTTATAGCCATTTTCATCAAACTTTCCCAGCGACAGTAGACTTTTCCGCATATCTGGTACATGCCGTACACCAGATATTGTACGCGTGATGCCATCAAGCATGGTAACACGAACATCTCCAATCCCCACGATTTGACATGAGTTATCATTGCCCATGTATACCGTACTTCCATCACATAACTGATACGTATGGAACCAGTCTCTATGTGGTGTCATATGGAAAGAAGCGCCCGAATCCAAAATCCATTGATGTTGCACGCTCTTTATTGGAATTGCAGTCATCACCTCGCCATCTTCAGGTAAGTCTGCATTTTCAACGATGTTTCCTTGGGAATTTGTTGATGTTGATGCATTTTGGGAATCAGATTTGCGATTTTGTTGATTCTCCTTGGATTTACAATCTTTACGCATGTGACCCTTTTGTCCACATTTCCAACAAGGACCCAAAGTTCGCCTCTTTGACATGGACCTTGACTTCTTTCTCCCACTGAAACCTTTGTCCATGGATCTTCCTCTGGCCATCATAGCATTACCAGAACTGCTCTCGAGAGTTTTTCTACGAGACTCTTCCGTCAGCAACGTAGCTATAGTTGAATCCATGTCAAGATTCGCTCCAGTACTGAGACTCATGATCAAGGAATCCCATGTATCAGGCATAGAACATAGAAGAAGTGTTACCTTCTCGTCGTCCTCGATTTTGATGCCGATGGAAATCAATTTGCTCAATAGGGTGTTGAACCTGTTCAGGTGCTCTTGGAAAGAGGAGCCTTCCTTCACCTTTAAACTGTATAATTGCCGACGAAGAAAAATTTTGTTTGACATTGTTTTCCCTTCGTAGAGATTCTTCAATTTCTCCCATAAGCCTTTGGCGGTGGTTTCTTCAGAGACATTGAAGAGGACAGAATCATCTAACGCCAGAAGTAGATCCGCCATTGCCATTTGATCTTTCTGTGCAAAATCCTCATCTTTCATCTCTGTCGGCTTTTCGTCTTTACCGGCAAGAGCAACTGCACAACCATCTCTCACCAGCACCGCTTGCATTTTCAGCTTCCACAATGGATAGTTGGATCCGTTGAATTTTGGCACCTCGAACTTTGTAGAAGTTGATGCAGCCATCGCACAAAGCTGAAACACGTACGTTGACGTCGATCACGTGCAGCACAGGCTTCTCGAACCGTCGGCTCTGATACCAATTGTTGCGCTAATTCACCTCACGTAACCGGTACGTACGTTGCACGAAGTGAGAAGCAAAACAAGTGCAGCAATATAAAGAGGAGATCACAAATTTACGTGGTTCGACAGATAAGTCTGTCTACATCCACGGGGCAAGCACACGGAACTCACTTGTATAACGGGAGAAATTACAACGCACACCCCTCAACCCGACAAACACCAAACAAGTGGGTCGCACTCTCAACCGTGAATCTTTTCTCGCATAACTCTCACAATCACGAGATATCGCACACCCAAGATTCCCTTACAAGAAATAACCTGCACCCCAAGTTCTATTTCACCTTAACGTAGAGAAAAAACAGAGGAATAACCCAAAGCACATTAACTCTTAACTGTTTCCTCCCGTCTCTCTCTCTCCTTCACACGTTCCCAAAGAAGTAGAGGGGTGGTTGTACGCACTAAAGTAGTGGAGGAGTGGCATCGACAGTTACTCCCTATTTTTTAGGTGTCACATCTTCCTCGCCGATCACCTCCGGTCGCCCTCGAGACCCTGCTCCGCCGTCCCCAGCCGCTAGCCGCTTCCTCGGACACCGCCGCCCCGGCTGCGGTCGGGTCGGGCCATTTCCCGGCCCCCGGCGGGCTCCTGAGGAAGCCGCCGCCGTCGCCGTGGCTCGGCGGCTCCTCGGCGAGGGGCTTCCACGCGAGCCCCGGGCCGCTGGGTTTCCGGGCGTCGGGGGCTTCGCGGGCCGAGTTCGCCATCGACGATTTCGCGCCCTACGACGAGGAGAAAGGGAGCGGCGGTAGCGACGAAGGTCTCGAGATCGCGAAGCTCGGGATTGCTCCGGAGATCGTCTCTGCTTTGGCTGAGAAGGGCATAACTAAGCGCTTTCCCATACAGGTATCCCTGTCTGCGTGCTTCTGTTTTGCTGTTGTGATGTTGTTTGGGAAGATGGGGGTACAAATTGCCGTGACTCTACCGTGTGAATTTTCCGATTGCGGTTTGATTGTCGGTTCTTGTAGTTGTTGTGTGTCCAACTGTTAGCGGCTCCTCTTGTTTATCGAATCGTTTTGTAGTTGGGGTTTTGGATGTATCATGACTGAGGGTTGGAATCTTTGGCATGTTAGAGTATATATTCTTTAGTTTGATTACTGAGGGCTATTTCTTTAAGTATGTTTAAGGAATTTACATAATTGATAGCTTTTTCAAGGCGATTGTACTTTTTTGGGATTCTTATCCTGGATTCTCTGTTACTGAGGTTACATATGTGCTCTGGTAGTATGAATGGATCTTTCTTTCTCGATATGAGGAGTGTAATCCTGGCGGAATTTCGCATTAGAAATGCAAGAGCTCATTGAATGATATTTTTCCTGTTGTTATATATGATTATTTTGCCTAGAAATCTGAATTTTAAAGTCTGCTTGGAGTGACCTTTGCTTATGGCCTTTTGCTTTCTGTTGTCTTTTAGCATTTGAGATTCAACTTTTGATTGCTATCAAACACCCACAAACATTTAAAAAATTATGCAACGCGGACAATTTTAGACATTTGGGATCATGCACAATTCTAACATAAAAATGCTAAACTAATCTCTTTTTAGTTATAGCCTAGAAAAGCTGGAACGTAAAGGCCCTTTACTTTTTGCTGTCCTCTTTTTGTGCAGAAAGCTGTGCTTGAACCAGCAATGCAAGGGCGGGACATGATCGGCCGAGCCAAAACTGGAACAGGAAAAACTCTTGCTTTTGGGATCCCCATCATGGACAAGATAATTCAGTTTAATGCAAAACATGGGTTTGTTCACTTTGATAACCTTTTGCATAATCAGTTTGTTTAGTTTCGTTCGCTTTTAAGTGGGAAAGGCTCCGAATTAGGGGAATTATGTAATCATGGAATGACACCTGTGATTTCCAAATGAGCAGACGTGGGAGGAATCCCTTGGCTTTAATCTTGGCTCCAACAAGAGAACTTGCTATACAAGTTGATAAGGAATTCTGTGAGTCTGCTCCCAATTTGGATTCTATTTGTGTTTATGGGGGTACACCCATCGGCCAACAAATGAAGCAGCTTGACTATGGTGTTGATGTCGTTGTTGGAACACCTGGTCGTATTATTGACCTGCTCAAGAGAGTTGCACTGAACTTATCAGAAGTCCAATTTGTTGTCCTTGATGAAGCGGATCAGATGCTTGCAGTGGGATTTGAGGAAGATGTTGAAACAATATTACAGAAGTTGCCACAGAACAGGCAGAGTATGATGTTTTCAGCGACGATGCCAAATTGGATAAAAAGCCTCACCAGGAAATATTTAAAGGATCCGTTGACTATTGATTTGGTAAGCACTCTATGCACGAGAACACACAAGAGTTTCTGCATTTGTTCTCCTTCTTATTCTTCTGTTTTTATTTTCGGTGCTGCTTTGAGAATTACGCCATTACCTGCTTCTTGGCGCTTGTACTGGAACACTACCCGAAAATATCATTATTTTTGCTGTGCGATAGAATTATTACAGAGAAACTGATGCAGCTTAGTGAATTAAAAATTGAAGAATGTGCGGTTTCAAATCTTCTTTTTGGGGTGTTTCAGTGGCTTATTAACTTTTTGCAGCCGATCAAAATAATCCCACCCATTTTTGTGCTTTTAGATGGTGAGTCTTTGGATTGAAGGGTGAAATGACACATATTGTTAGTATCCTAAATACAAACATGGGTAAGCTGTAATGTGGATGAAATAACTGCTGCTTAATTGGAGACAGCTCTTTATTATATAAGAAACAGCAGCATAGAGTACATGAAATGGACGTGTTGATGCGATTGATTTTGCTACGAGTGTTGATTTCATGTAAAATTGCAGGTTGGAGATTCTGATCAAAAGTTGGCGGAAGGTATTTCACTATATTCGATTGCATCGGACATGTATGGAAAAGCATCAATTATTGGACGTCTGATAACAGTAAGAACCCAAAGCCTTGTGGTTACTGTTAAGATGTTTGATGAGATGCCTTCTTGTAATTGTCAACTTTTCCTCCTCCATGTCTGTAACCTAATGCTTAAATACTGCTACCCGCTCATCCGGTTTCCTATTTCTGTTATTTGATGACCTTGTAGGAACATGCAAAAGGTGTGTTGAATCGATGGCGGAATCTATCCCGTTCCTGATGTGACGGGACTAAACCTGAATAGGACTTATGGGAGCCATCTTTTGGCCCGACATGGCCCGTGATGGTCTTGTGCCGTGCCATTCCGTGGGCAGGTTGCCTCCAGTGATATTGGACGGGTAGTCACTTGGATCGAGTTATGGACCTAGCAGGAAAAGTGTGTTGAAAATAGTTCTTATTGCTCGTTTGCAGGGTTTTAACGGTCTTTATAAAATCCATCTTTACTTAAAGAATGATATTTTGGGATTAGACTTTCTAACAGCAGCAGTGATCTTTCGTATTTATTATGGGCTATAAGTCTAATCAGCCACATTTTTTTAGATCGAGAAGGTTTTCTTTTTGTGCACTTTTATTTGGTACGCGATTATTAAGAACCAATCACATACTTATTATGCATGACGCAAATTTCGAAGGGCCTCTTTGGTATATTGAGAGATACTGACATTGATCGTAGTCGGTTGTAACTAAACTCGTTAGAGTGGGTTATAAATTTATTTTTTAACTCATATATAATGTGCTGGATTGTTATCTAAGTTAGTTATATTTAATAAATGGGTTAAAACATAAGATGTGTGTTAAGTGAGTTATAAATAGATTTACAATTTATTGATCCCACTCTTCTTCATGACTATCTCTTCATTCTTTTTCCCATCACTCGATCTCGCGTTCACTTAGTCTACACTCTCACTTTGGTTTTGGTACAATTTTTTTTTTAAATTGGGTTAAATATATAAGTGTTTTCGTCTCCATGACTATCTCTTCATTCTCTTTTACTATTACTCGATCTCGCGTTCACTTACTTCACATTCTCACTTTCGTTTTGGTACAAGTTTTCTTAAATTTGGTTAAATATATAAGTGTTTTAGTAATATAGATTGGGTTGGATATGGGCCGAGTTGGTTATGTGTGACTAGACTTGCATTGCATGAAAATAAATCAAAATGGATTAAATGTGTTTATTTAGATTGGATTATTTTTGACATGATCCAAACTTAACCCAGCCTGCTCGTTAGACAAGTCTATTTATAATCACATCCATCTATTACGATATAATACACAAAAACACGTTAAAAGTTGATAATCAAATGTCTCAATTTACTCATTTAATTTATCATTCGCCGCCTCAATCTATATATATGGAGGATTTATAGGAACCCCATATTTCAAAGGGAGAGCTTCTTTCTCTGACTTGGGTCTACCGGATCGGGTGAATCACGACCGTCGATCTTGCGATCCCCTTGCACTCTGGACGCGGATTTCACGAAATCAAAGAGCCGGGGGGATTTCTCTGACACCCCCGGCCCCCCACCCCAGCCGTCGAACCGACACAGGAGCAGCTCCAGCAAAAAGCAGGTGCACCTCGCCGCACGCGAACCCACCTCCGCAAATATCTTTCTTTCCGGACGTGAAACCAAAGAAAGTAAACGAAAGCGAGAGAGAAAAATCTCACAGTCGCACATAAACCCTTCCCGACGTCTCTCTTCATTTCTCACACACTTCCCTCTGACCCCCACCCCGCAGCAGCAGCATCCCCTCCTCCTAAAACCCTCGCTTTCTCCCCCACTCCTTAAACCCTAATCCCTCCTCCGCGCCACCCCCCCCCCCGCCCCTTCCTCTGAGCGTGCATCTCTCCACGAAGATGATGCACATCGTTCTGAGGAAGGCGTCTTCCTCGCCGATCGCCCCGGGTCGCGCGCTCTCGGCCGCCCTCGAGACCCTGCTCCGCCGTCCCCAGCCGCTCGCCGCTCCCTCGGACGCCGCCGCGGCTGCGGTCGAGCCGGCCCATTTCCCGGCCCCCGGCGGGCTCCTGAGGAGGCCGCAGCCGTGGCTCGGCGGCTCCTCGGCGAGGGGCTTCCACGCGAGCCCCGGGCCGCTGGGGTTCCGGGCGTCGGGGGCCTCGCTGGCCGAGTTCGCCGTCGACGATTTCGCGCCCTACGAGGAGGAGAAAGGGAGCGGCGGTAGCGACGTAGGTCTCGAGATCGCGAAGCTCGGGATTGCTCCGGAGATCGTCTCTGCTTTGGCTAACAAGGGCATAACTAAGCTCTTTCCCATACAGGTATCCCTGTCTGTGTGCTTCTGTTTTGCTGTTGTGACGTCGTTTGGGAAGACGGGGGTACAAATTGCCGTGACTCTACCGTGTGAATTTTCCGATTGCGGTTCGATTGTCGGTTCTTGTAGTTGTTGTGTGTCCAACTGTTAGCGGCTCCTCTTGTTTATCGAATCGTTCTGTAGTTGGGGTTTTGGATGTATCATGACTGAGGGTTGGAATCTTTGGCATGTTAGAGTATATATTCTTCAGTTTGATTACTGAGGGCTATTTCTTTAAGTATGTTTACGGAATTTACATAATTGATAGCTTTTTCAAGGCGATTGTATTTTTTGGGATTCTTATCCTGGATTCTCTGTTACTGAGGTTACATATGTGCTCTGGTAGTATGAATGGATCTTTCTTTCTCGATATGAGGAGTGTAATCCTGGCGGAATTTCGCATTAGAAATGCAAGAGCTCATTGAATGATATTTTTTCTGTTGTTATATATGGTTATTTTGCCTAGAAATCTGAATTTTAAAGTCTGCTTGGAGTGACCTTTGCTTATGGCCTTTTGCTTTCTGTTTTCTTTTAGCATTTGAGATTCAACTTTTGATTGCTATCAAACACCCACAAACATTTAAAAATTTATGCAGGCGGACAATTTTAGACATTTGGGATCATGCACAATTCTAACATAAAAATACTAAACTAATCTCTTTTTAGTTATAGCCTAGAAAAGCTGGACCGTAAAGGCCCTTTACTTTTTGCTGTCCTCGTTTTGTGCAGAAAGCTGTCCTTGAACCAGCAATGCAAGGGCGGGACATGATCGGCCGAGCCAAAACTGGAACAGGAAAAACTCTTGCTTTTGGGATCCCCATCATGGACAAGATAATTCAGTTTAATGCAAAACATGGGTTTGTTCACTTTGATAACCTTTTGCATAATCAGTTTGTTTAGTTTCGTTCGCTTTTAAGTGGGAAAGGCTCGGGATTATGGGAATTATGTAATCATGGAATGACACCTGTGATTTCCAAATGCGCAGACGTGGGAGGAATCCCTTGGCTTTAATCTTGGCTCCAACAAGAGAACTTGCTAAACAAGTTGATAAGGAATTCTGTGAGTCTGCTCCCAATTTGGATTCTATTTGTGTTTATGGGGGTACACCCATCGGCCAACAAATGAAGCAGCTTGACTATGGTGTTGATGTCGTTGTTGGAACACCTGGTCGTATTATTGACCTGCTCAAGAGAGGTGCACTGAACTTATCAGAAGTCCAATTTGTTGTCCTTGATGAAGCGGATCAGATGCTTGCGGTGGGATTTGAGGAAGATGTTGAAACAATATTACAGAAGTTGCCACAGAACAGGCAGAGTATGATGTTTTCAGCGACAATGCCAAATTGGATAAAAAGCCTCACCAGGAAATATTTAAAGGATCCGTTGACTATTGATTTGGTAAGCATGCACGAGAACACACAAGAGTTTCTGCATTTGTTCTCCTTCTTATTCTTCTGTTTTTTTTTTTTCGGGGCCGCTTTGAAAATTGCGCCATTACCTGCTTCTTGGCGTTTGTACTGGAACACTACCCAAAAATATCATTATTTTTGCTGTGCGATAGAATTATTACAGAGAAACTGATGCAGCTTAGTGAATTAAAAATTGAAGAAATGTGCAGTTTCAAATCTTCTTTTTGGGGTGTTTCAGTGGCTTGTTAACTTTTTCCAGCCGATCAAAATAATCCCACCCATTTTGTGCTTTTACATGGCGAGTCTTTGGATCGAAGGGTGAAATGACACATATTGTTAGTATCCTAAATACAAACATGGGTAAGCTGTAATGTGGATGGAAATAACTGTTGCTTAATTGGAGACAGCTCTTTATTAAATAAGAAACAGCAGCATAGAGTACATGAAATGGACGTGTTGATGCGATTGATTTTGCTAGGAGTGCTGATTACATGTAAAATTGCAGGTTGGAGATTCTGATCAAAAGTTGGCGGAAGGTATTTCACTATATTCGATTGCATCTGACATGTATGGAAAAGCATCAATTATTGGACCTCTGATAACAGTAAGAACCCAAAGCCTTATGGTTACTGTGAAGATGTTTAATGAGATGCCTTCTTGTAATTGTCAACTTTTCCTCCTCCGTTTCTGGAGCCTAATGCTTAAATACTGCTGCCCGCTCATCAGGTTTCCTATTTCTGTTATTTGATGACCTTGTAGGAACATGCAAAAGGTGGAAAGTGCATTGTTTTCACTCAAACAAAAAGAGATGCCGATAGACTGGCATATGCTATGGGCAGGAACTTTAAATGTGAGGCTCTGCATGGGGATATTTCACAAAGTCAGAGGGAGAGAACACTTTCAGGTTTCCGGGATGGCAATTTTAATATTCTAGTGGCGACAGATGTTGCTTCCCGTGGTCTTGATATTCCCAATGTTGATTTGGTTAGTTCTACTGCTTTCTGCTCTCTGGATAACAATCTCTTGATATTTCATACCTCTGCTTTCTGCTCATGAACTAAGTTGTATATTAACTGATATTTTCTGTTAGGGGTGCAGTCATTGTTGCCTGGTGACTTGATGGCCCTTAATTTGGTTTTACTTCTCAAGTTGTTCTCTCTCTGTCTCTGATACTCTCTTCTCGGTTGGGTGCAATGCTTTTTTTTAAATTTTATTTAGTGGCTAATGTTTTAACGTCATAGTATGTAATGTAAGTACAAGCTGAATGTGACCTTATTGCTAATTTTCTTGCAGCTCAATATTCTGTAGTGGTTCATCATAGGCTGGAATAGAATGGGTAGTAGTGGATGCGGTTTGTGTGATATAAAGGGTGGTTGGTGTGCTTTATACTTAATTTGTCTGCTCACCAATGCCTCTGATATTGTTGCGTGCGGGATGATCTTTGTTTGGAGGGGAGACTGCTTAATACATAATATCTTGATAGATATATGCAGCTGTTCTGCACACCTACTAAATTTTTGTTACCATCTATTAAAGTTCTATGTTTTAATCCGTTAATGTACAGATCATACATTTTGAGCTTCCAAACTCTTCAGAGATTTTTGTACATCGCTCTGGTCGAACAGGGCGAGCTGGTAAGAAAGGAAGTGCGATCCTCATCTACACACGGGAGCAGACAAGGGCCATGAAGGTTATTGAGCGAGACGTGGGATGCCGATTTATCGAGGTAAATTTGCACCTTGCATTTTCCCACTTGTATTTTCTTCAATTCAAGATGTTTGCATCGAAGTCCTGTTTGACTCATACATTTTAGATAGTTGAATAAGCTTTGTCAGCCATTTATCTTCTGTGTCTTTTTTTCTTCCCGGCAAGCTTTCTTCATTTTTTTTTGTTTTTAAATTCTATAAAAAGAATCATATGCTGTTAATAAAAATGCAGCATAATTGTGTAAAAGGGATGGAGAATTTGCAGGTTCTTGCTTGGAGAAAAAATTTAATCTAAGAATTTTTAAATCTCGATGGTGTAGTGTAAAATTGTCCCTTTTTTCATGTTAAAGTTTACTCGACTAATTAGTCCTTGATCATATTCATTAGCTTCCCAGTATAGCTGTTGAGGGAGGTAGTGCGGATATGTTCAATGACTTCGGTGGTGGTGGTGGCCGATCTGGCTCATATGGTGGTGGAAGAGAACGTCGTTTCGGCGATTCAGGATTTGGACGTAGTCAAAGAGGTTCAGACTTTGGTCGATACGGAAGTTCTAGCAACTCTAGTCGTTTTGGTTCCTTTGGTGGTCCTAGTACAGGTTCTTCTGGAGGAGGCTTTGGTAACTCAAACCGATCTGGGAATTTTGGTGGCTCTGGTTTTGGTCGCCCTTCAGGATTCAGCGATCGCTCCAACAGCTTTGGAGACTCTGGCTCAGGCAGATCAGGTCGCACTGGAGGATTTGGTGACAACAGTTCCAGCAGGAGTGGTGGTTTTGGAGATAATAAGTCTAGCCGAAGTGGTGGTTTTGGCAACTCTTATTCCAGCCGTTTTGGTGGCTTTGGCGATAATAAAAGCTGATGATCTGTAAACTGCAAGATCATCCAATACAGTTGAAGGGTGAGCATGCCCTGTCCTCAAATATTCCGTTTTTTCTGTCTGCTTTGTGTTTTCATTAGTTATCCAGTTAATTTTTCTCGCCTATGTTCTCTTGCATGTACTCAAGTACATGCTCAAAGTCACCTGTGCATCTAGACTATATAAATGCTGCATTGAAAGTTTGCTTTAGCGACAGAGTTGCCTGTACCGATCTGCTGTAGTGCAGCTCTCCCGACCTTACTACACTCGAGATTATTATGGGTTTTTTCCCTCCCTTGTATAATTCAGGCGGTTATGCTTTCCATTGGTGTCAAGATGGTTAGTAATAAGGATCATTTATTTGGTGTTTCTCAAATCTCCCATGCGTGCACTTTTATTCCAATTGCAGGTGCCTAGAAGAGGCATATAAATGTTTACCAAGGTAATTTAATGCCCCATTGATGTCAAAGCTTCTGCACACATGATGTTTTGCTGCAAGGATACGGGTCTCCGTCGGGGCTTTTACTTGACCGAAGACGAGAGCGCTGAAGTGGTGAAGTTAGTGTGAACCGCGTAGGGTTTTTGTGTTGTCGATATCTACTAGATGTTATCATTCTATGGGGGAAATAAACTGTAGTTGAGATCCAACATGAGGAAAAAGAGGTGGCCTATCTTTGATTTTTTATTTATTTTTTTCCGCATCAATAGTAAAACAAATTTCGCTTCCTTGCCCGTTCCTCTTGCGACAGGAAGTGCTGGGTAGTTGCTAGTGTTTCCCTTTTAACGTTGTATTGGTTAAAGTAGCTGATGAATTTCCTAATCCTATGTTTAACGATGCGACCATAAGATACGGGGGCGTTGGACGCCAGCAGGACAGCACTCGTGCGGACGAAAGGGGGGAGAAAGGGTAGTGGGACCAATGCTTTTGCTGTCTTGTCTTTGTTAAAGTACGAGAAAACAACATACCGTCTGACAGCGTCCTATTCTCTTTTTTATTTATTAATGGGGAAAGTGAGAAAAAGGAGCGCATCGCATTTATGGATGCGCACGCAACAAAAACAACTGGCGTGGCTGTTTTTTAAGACAAATATAAAACGCGAACGGATCTCACACGGTTTGATTGTATCTTTTCTTTTGACGTTAGGGCTTCGTTCGTTTGGCGAAAAATATTCTCCATTTAAAAAATATTTTTTCGGAAGTCATTTTTCTGAAAAATATTTTTTCGAAACATAATTTTCCGGTGTTCGGCGATCAATATGAAAAAGTTTCGGAAAATATTTTTCGCCGGCGATCGACGGCCAACGTCCGGGCGGCGGCGGCGGCGGCCGATGGCGGCGGCCGGCGACCTTAGTGAAGAAGAAGAAGAAGCTCCGGAAAATGATTTTCGCTTTTGAAGAAGCGGAAGTCATTTTCCGTAGACTTAGGCTATTTTGTGAGGGGGGGAAGGAAAATATTTTCCCGTGGAAAACATTTTTCGCCCCCCGAACACCGGAAAACCCGGAAAATATTTTCCAGGAGAATATTTTTCGCCAAACGAACGGAGCCGAGGAGTTTCTTCCTCACCAATAGTATTTTCTCTTTCGCGTGCATTTATTGGTTATTTTCCTCCTCTTGTTGTAAGTTTTGCGATCCCTATGATTTACACAATATTCCCCGTAATTTCCCTTTGGTGGTCGTCGGTTCTTTGGTGCATGTGATTCGTGAATTCTTTGTTGTATGCGTAATTGCTAATGAAACATCTAGTTAATTGTATCCTATTTTAACATTTCGTAAGTCCTTCAACCTAGTCAGTACTTATCCTGACCCATCGTAATTTTTTAGTTTGATCATCTTCGTGCAACTTTCTTTTACCATCGGCGATAGAAAACCGATTTCCAAAGCAGATTTGAGGAGTCCCGTTTTCCCCATTTCATGCCTCGTAAGAACACTTACTGAACTGTAGATACACAAAAATAGATTTTATAGTCTCTTGGACACACAAACACGCACCAATGAGATCGATTCATGTTGCTAGCGAACATTCGTAGGGCTCGTGTTGCGTTGCCTGATTGCAGCATCACTTATGTGGAAAAAAACTTCACGGTTGCTAATATCTCGACGGGATTGCAGACGACGGGCTTGTCGACCTTGAATTTTCACATCACAGGCGATGCGAAATAATTATGGCTCATACTAAACATTCGTTACGAGCCCTTTATAATGATGCCCAAAAGAGGATTGCTAGGGTCGATTGTCCCATTTTTTATTTGACATTTTTTTTTTGGGGGGGGGGGGGGGAAGAGAAGAGAAAACGATCTTTCCTAATGATGAATGAGTGAGACACAAGCGATCCTCTTGTGTGGTAAGTGATAACACTCCCAAGCACGCACTGCCGAGTGAGTTACGTTGTCACCATCGTCATTACCATTGCCCCCCCCCAGCCCCAATATAAATTTTTGAACTTCACTCCATCCCCCCACCCCCCCCCCCGGATGCGTACAACCTACCACTGCCTCTCTCTCTCTCTCTCTCCCTTTCCTTCTCCGCTTGATCGGTCCGAGCTCCGATGGAGTGCTCCGCCGGCGAGCGCCGCCGAGCACCGGAGGAATCCGCCGCGGAACCTCCCTACGGTCCCCAGGTACTTCCGTCCGTTAGCTCGCAGCCGCCTGGTCCCGTGCCTGAAGTCGACGAATGCGGTGCGCGAGTTGCGGAGACGAGCGGTGCTCGATCCCGTTCTCGCTTTGCCGCTCTGTGTTCGAGCGGTTCGGTCGCCGTCGCGGTGAAACAAACAAAACAAAAGGGGTCGAGTCCGAGGGGAGGAATATGGCGATTCTTCCGGCGGCGGCGGCGGCGGCGGCGGCGTCGGTGTCGCGCGTGATTCGTCCGCTGAAGAATGTCGCGTTTGATCCTTCTCCTCGCCTAGGGCAAGGAGTATAGTGATGAGCTGATCATGTTACAGTGTTACTGCGGGGATGCGATGATCGCGTTCGCGAGATGTTTCGTTAGGCCGCCGCTCGAGTGTGCTTGAAATGTTTGCTCAAGCTATCGATGATTCTTTCGGATACATTTCGTGGAGTGTGTGCCGTTCCGTTCCGTGCGGAGCGGAGCGGAGCCGATTTGTTTGTGCTCCTCGCATCTTCAGTTAGCTCTTAGCTTCGTCCACCCTATCCTGGCATTATTTGGTGTTGAATTTGGATGCTCTTGTCTTGTTTATTTGAGCGACTCGTTTAATCTTTCTAGGCGTGCGACGAGATAGAAACAAGCGAACAGATCAACCCGGCTCAACAGTCTAGGCGGCCGAATCTGTCGTCCCTGCAGATACCCGAGAGGTCTCTGGAAAGCGCCATCTCCACTTTCGTGAGAATCGATATCCCGTCGACGTCGAGTCCCGGTTCGAGCAGACTCGGGCTGCCCCCGAGACCCAATTCCGCCAAGTTCAAATCGTCCGTGAGGAATCTGCTTCCTCAGAGGAGCCTCCGGGCGAAAGAAATCTCCCGGGATGTCGAGAAGGCGGTTCTCATCGTCCCGGACGCTCCGCTGTCCGACGGTCGTCCTAATAGGCCTAATACCCCGAGATCGTTTTCCCTCAAGGAAGTCTTCTCGCCTTCCTCGGCGAAAGTCGCGCATTCTGTCCCAGTTACCCCGGTTACCAGTATGGGTCCTGAAAATGCGAGGGAAAGGCCAGTTGACGGTCCTAATCACTCTGTAAGTGGTCCTTATTTGTTCCCTCTGATCATAACTTAAAAGGTAGTAATTAGTACTGGTCATGTGAATTTCATTCATTATTACAGGAAACAGAAGTTCATCACCATATGACGCGATCCTTCTCGGTTCCGGTTAATGTCAAAACTACAAGTCTGAAAAGGATAAACTCCGGGGGCCTCATCCGTGTGATTTCGGCCACACCTCGCCCTGAAGCCGTAGATCCTGCCTCGGCGAATGATGCTCCTGCAGATGATATTGGTAAGATTAATGATGCTGGAAAACTCGAGCTTCGTTTGTCTTGTACATGCTGAAAAGTATTGCTGTCCTGCAAATTGTCTGCTTCAGGTAATGAAGATGCCGGTGAAGATATTCCAGAAGAGGAAGCAGTTTGCAGGATTTGTTTGGTCGAGCTTAGTGAAGGAGGAGATACTCTAAAAATGGAATGCAGCTGCAAAGGGGAGCTCGCACTTGCTCATCAAGAGTGTGCGGTGAAGTGGTTCAGCATAAAAGGGAACAAGACTTGTGATGTTTGCAAGCAAGATGTTCGGAACTTACCAGTTACATTATTAAAGATTCATAATCCTCAGGGTGTAATTAGACGGCCACCAAATGTACAGCAGCAAAGGGAGGTACCTCGTTACAGGCAAGCCCCACGAATTTTGACAATCTTCCTAGCACTTTTTCTGGGTGGGGATTGTCAATACTTCCATGAATAAAATATGCGATTCTTTTTTGTTAAAAAGCATGTTTCTCTAGAAAGGGAGAAAGAATCTGGACACCGTCCTACTAGTTATCTATTCAGAGAAGTGCTGCAAAGGCTTCGGGATGCATTTGATTCTTGAGAGGTCTTCTTGTTTCCAGTTACACTAAATCTTCTCCGCCAACTATTTTTGCTTTTCCACTGTCCTGTAATGTGTTCGGATGCATATTTTTCTTTTCTTTCAAAGTAAGACAGCTGCCCACTTGCATCTTCCCACTCTACCATGAGGTTCAAGGTTTGAACCTGGACTCTCCCTTTCCACCCTTTCCAAATCAGATAAATGCCACTGAATGGGTACATTATCTCTATTAACTTTTTTTTTTGACTTTTCCCTTAGTTTGCTATAGATGTGGTCCAGTAAATCAAATGCTAAAAAAATTCATCCTCAGAGTTTTTCTTCTCATTTCATTCAGAAAACATGGGAAAGAACTTGTTTATTGTCTTCTGGTTTTGTTTCAGCTCTCAGAAGATGAAAATACAAGGGAGGGTGCCAAATACGTCTTCTAAGTTCTAATCGACTTGTTTTTTCCTTGAAAACAACATTAAACTACCACAATGTTACCAATATGACACTTGAATAGGTCCTACTACCATATTGTACGTTGCCATGGTGGTATCCATAGTTGATTGGACTCTACCTACTACTCAAAACTGTTAACTGTTCGTATCTTCTCTGGATGATATATTGCATGCTTCATTAAACTACCACAATGTTTACCAATATGAGTTTTCTATGGTAGTATAACCAAAAAAAAAGTTATCTGTGGTAGGCGTTATTTGCTGATGCACGATTGTGACTTGATTCGCGGCCTCCCATGCAACAATATTGAAGGCTCTACAGGAGTCAAATAGTTCATAGCATTGCTTAGAATGACTAAGACTTCTTCTTGTGATGCTTTCTCAATCCATGTTTATTTTGTAGAGGAATTTAACCCTAGATTGAGCTGTTTGCTGTTGTATTTGATGGTGAAAAGCAGTATAAATGGATTGATGATGCGACCTATGTCATCCAAGTAGACTGTATCAATTTTGCTGCACATCATAATTTTGGTAGCCCAATTAAATCTCTAATATATTCTCTTGGCTGTTCGATGGTTAACAGGGTCTGGCAGGATGTACCAGTCCTAGTCATGGTCAGCATGCTCGCATACTTTTGCTTTTTGGAGCAACTCCTGGTACATGCATTTTTTTGAACAGTTGTTTATTCCCGAGATTAGATACCTTTGTCATTGTGTGGATCACATTATGGTGCCATATGACTTAGCAACTATTCAATTGATGGTTAATTTCTCATTAGAGTACCATCTTCAGTTGCTGTGTGTCTATAAGTTCATATGATCATCTTAAGCAGGGTAGTAACGCAAGGTTCAAGACTTAGTTTGAAACTTATTGCAAACTTCACTATACTAAGCACAACTCTTTTTAGTGAAGAATCTTAAAGATGTACATGAAAATAAAGTTCCACTCATCTTAGCCATCCGTAGACTTATACTACAAGGACAAAAGCTGCAAGTTGTTTGTGGATATTTAATCTTCTCTTAGATGCATGTGCGTATTTTTTGTTCAGTCTATATGTCTGCCTTCTTGTAAATAACCATGTATGTTCAGTTTTTTTTTATTTTTTTAATTTCTTAACCCCATTGGTGATTGTATTTTGAGCAATGCCCCTAAAAGAACTTTTATTTCTTATTGACTCTGATGACATTATATATTTTACCCAGGTATCAGATTTGGGACCTAGAGCTCTAGCCATAGCATTGCCCTTCTCGTGTGTCCTAGGCCTTCTTTCATCTATGATTGCTTCCACCATGGGTAAGTCAAAAAGCCTTAAATTACCTGCCATTTATTTTGGTAAAGAAAATCTGACATCTTTCCCACGTTTACCTACCGCTACCAAATAATGATTTCCCCTTCAATGGGTGAATACATGGATCATCCTATGCTATTGCTTTCTGTCAAAGATTGAACGACTGAATAAAGTCCACATATTGTGGGTTCTTTGACACTTAGTTTGGCTTTCTTTAACTTCTCTCTTTCCAGTCTTCATGAGTGCTTTGCCTATATTCACGTTTTCTTACTAGTACTTCTTGAGGATGTCTTCACCTTTTAGTCCTGGCTTATTTTCCAAGAATTTCTGTCAAAATGCATTCTGGGCGCAATCGTTTCTCATCTAGTCAGAGAATGCTAAACAACTTAACATTCTTCTATAAAACTCTCTTATTGCCATCTCCTTGATCTTTCTTTGAGTTTAAGTTGTGTTCTGCTGTCACAAGGCCATATAGCTTATCCATTCCAATTGGGTATTGCCAGTATTTAGTAATTACTACTGCTTACTTTTCATCTGCATTTTTGTCAGTCCCACCTGTTCACTTCTATTCACTTTGCTTTTGTTATAATGCATTCCATGGAATTTTGTATATATAAAGCGATTGAAGTGGAAATTGTAAAATGATGAGTGGCTCTCCGAGAGATTTTTTCAATGGTTTCTTTTTGTTTTTGGTTTTCATGCATCGTTGCTTTTCAAAATTTGGCTACTATTAGTAAAACGAAATGTATATACATTTTCAACAAAGTAGAATGGGGTTCTAAAGAATATGAGGACTCTAGAAGATTCTCGTATGCTTTTAAATTTATTTTTCGATCTCGCAAATTGCTCAATGTATTTGTATTCTTACTTTTCCTAATCTTGTAATATTCCAATTTTGATAGATATGGCAACATTGTGCCTATATACAAAAACAAAATGAGAGTATGGTTGTTCTAGGGTGATGTGGTCTTCTTAAAAATTGTGAATTTATTTTCCAATTTGAAGAGGTGGAAAGAATAATGTTAGTTTTTCCTGGGAAAATGGTGTGTAATTTACTCGATGTATTCCAAACTTGAGTTCTTTAAATGTTTTCTAATAGTGAACTAAAAACTTTAGCTTTAGTTATGCCTACTTTTTAATTATAGATGTTACTCTTTTCAGATTTCGCACAATAATAAATTCAATTATATTTATGTATTTTGGTATCTTGCCTAACCTAAGTTCAACTGCTTATGATGTTTGATGATGAACTTTACGGTAGATGTGGTCTTTATCTATGATAATCCATGGTATATTATGCTAAATATTACACATCAACATTTGTAGTTTACCCTTGTATATTTTCTTATAAAAAGTTATAATATGATAATCACAAGGTTTTTTGCACCCTAGCACTATCTATACGAGGTGTTTGGTGAACGATTATTTAAATACAATTTAAACAATCAAAGATGGTCTGTTTGATTGTTAACTTAGATTATTAAGATTACCAAGATAAAAATGATTAGAAGTACAAATTTTGTCTTGTCAACTTATGTACACTCTTTTGATAAGAATAAAATTTACTTAAGAGACATTACATGGATTTGCCATTCTATAGACAAACTATTTGATTTTTTTAAGCCAACAAGATCTTTGGACTTTCTGAAGCCTAACCCATCTGAATTTCCGGTAATATTCGAGTAAATAGTTTAAAAGCAGAATATGGGAGGTGAATGACACCCCAGTTTTTTGCTCTATTCAGCATAATACTACTAAAGGTCTTATTCTCAAACTTTTATTTTACCTCTCTCTGTTTTTGTTTACTTGCTACAGCTCTAACTTGATTCCTGTGTAGCTATTTGCTGTGACCTTTAACTCATAAATTCAGTAAGTTGGACGTCCCTCCTGTAGCACTATATATCCTTGTCTCTAATCAAAATTTTGAGTTCATGGATGCAGTGTAGCAACAGGTTTATTTATCACAGCAAAAGACCATCACTGCCCTTGCCTTATATAATGCAGAAATCTTAGTCAAACTCTGTCAGCTTTGTTTGTGTCGTTTTTTAGGTCTATTTTTGTTTCTGCACTTCAGAGTGTATAGCCTCCCGTAGGAGTCTCAACCTTTGACTTTCGGATATTTGCAGTGAGCAGGGGTTATATCTGGGCATATGCTTCGTTTCAGTTTGCCATTGTGATCCTCTTTGCTCATATCTTCTATAACGTGGTGAGTGAAACAAATTTAATAAGTACTTTCTGCATTCTACTTTTGTATCTGAACGTCCCCTGTAATTCGTCGCTTTAACTCGATTCTTCCTGCTAATGCAGCTTAGTGTGAACGCCATTCTCTCGGTCCTACTGTCCTCATTCACGGGTTTCGGGATTGCAATCAGCACTAACTCCCTCCTTGTGGAGTACCTTCGATGGAGAATGAGCAGGCAACTAAGACCTCGTCCTAATAATCCGAACAGAAGAGTGCAGGAGCGGCAGCATTTGCACCCTCCGCAGCATGAAGCACGCCACGAACAACATCTAGAGCACTCACAACGGCATAATCACCACATCCATCACCAGCAAGATCGTCAAAACCCGCACCACCATCAACTTCAACCAACAGAAGAACCGAGTGTAGTTCCAATTGATAGATCCAATCGGCAAGAAATGGGGATTCAGCAGAGCACGTAAGTCCCTATCACTGGGTCGAATGCTGGTTTTCATCAGGAGGTAGAGTTGCACGAGGTCTTCAAATTGCGAATGGTCAAATTATTTCACTGTTTCCTGAGAAATGGGTGTTCAGAACTTCTAACCACACGTAATGACCTGTGAAGCACTTCACTATGAAGTATAAAATACAGAAGAAAAGAAAAGATAATTATCTAAATCGAATCTGTACAAATTAGAGATGATATGTGCATGCGGTCTTTGTATTCTGACAAAAGAAATCTAATAAATATCTTTGGTCAAAGAAGAAAATAGATCATGAAATTGAGTAACATGGAAATGAATCAAACAAGAAGCCCAAGGAAAGCAGTTCGGTTGAAGAGGTCGTAAGACGGGGGACTGCACTCCGAAGACTTAAAGAAGAGAAGAATCCTGTGGATTAACACACAATGTGGCCAGGGATAACCGGAGTGTAGAATGGAAAATAACCTCCGTATATGATACGTTTAGCTCGTGTAAAGAAGAGAATTGTCAGCATTGCTTGACTCGTAACTATTTCTTCGTGAGCGACTACTCTTCGTTTCTTCATTGCCGCGAGGCTTTGGAGAAGACAAAGCTCGGTTTTATGTAACATCCATCCCCAACAACCACTTGGAAGATCTGTAGGATGGGATGCTGTGAACCTCATATTCTCGAGATTGTACAAATGGACTCATTCCCTAAATGACGCAGTGGCAGCTTGTTAGTTTCATGTAGATCTATCGAAATGTAGTCACTATAGTATTCGCAGGAGGGTCCTGCTGATGTGATCCTATATTGGTGTGTCCACTCTTTGCTCGTGTCATCCCAGTGCCAAGGTCCCTTCAAGCTCGAACATTCCTTCCACGTCGAGTGACAACGAAATGTCCGGAAAATTATGGGATCTCGATCAAGTTGAATTCCTGTTTGTTGCGATCGAATGAAAGCATCTCTCTCCGGGGACCATTTGGTGCTGAAGATCTGTCGGGCACCCCAGTTTTAGAGCTCCAAACATGAACACGGAATCATTGGGTACCAGAGGATGAGGAGGGACATTTCAAGTTCTCCGCTCTTTTTCTAAAGTCATAAAAACTAGAACCCCCATTATGCTGTTGCAAGTCTTTTTCCAGAGTCGATGGCGTAGACGCAAACTGTCTTGTCTGTGTTTGCGCAACGATCGAACCCCTATTGTGTCCATCATGATGTCACGAGACTCTAGCCATTGCAGCCATTGGCTACCTCAACATCTCCTTTTGTAACGGTGTTAACCGAGACTCCGTAGATCAGTTTTCTTGAAGATCGATTCGAGAAATTTCCATCTCCATAAAAGGTTTTACCTGCCATAGCTACCCAAATCGACGAATGTCGAGTTCAGGAAGTCTCGCTCTTTCTCCTTTCGGCTTCATTTGATAAGATAATCCCATTTATTGAGAGAGTTCACGTTGAAATGCAATAACATGGGTTCTTCTTCAGATGCGAAAATTTCGACCATCAATGTTGTCTTTCCAGACTCTGGAGACGAACTTGTAACGCAGCAACGACTTTGGCGAGACTTTTGAAAGAATGTTGAAAAAGGATAGGATGTGGAAGTTCATCCATGCTCGTCTTGTGATGGGGACTTCCAGTCTTGCAATAGGTGCTAAACTTTCTTAAAATTCGAAAATTTTCCACTAGATTTAGTTATGACCCTCAATTTGTACTCCAAACTTTATGAAATTCTTCAGAAATCAAAATGACCACAATTAATAAGAAAATTAGTTAATTTGGAAACTGTAATCTTTACAAAATCAATCATTTGACCCAATAATTATTAATTTCTTAGAATTAGAAGTTCTTCCTTTAAGATGTACTTTGATCCTCAATTTTTGCTCCATACTTCGTTAAGTTCTTTTAGAACCAGAATGATCGCATTTGTTTTATGCACAAATCAAACCCTCTAATTAACTTAATTAATGGGATCGCATTCCCGTGATGATTCATCAGTCAAATCGCTAATTATTGACATGGATAAATTACTAAGATAGCAATGCCATACTTTCATGGACAATCTAAAACAAGAACATTGTAACAGAAACCCAAGAGTTACAATCTACTTTCAAAATGAGAAACCTGCTAGAGAAGAGAGAGAAACCGCTTTGGAAACATGTTCACTAGGGGCGGACAACCTTCGTGCCCCCGCCCTCAGGCCGGCTAAAAAAGACCTTCAACCGACATAGTCAACGTGAAACCCAACTGCAGCATGGTCCGACAATTACCCAACTGCAGCATGGTCCGTCCATTGTCAATTCAACATCGAATCATGACTCACCTGAATCCACTTAAACCAACATGGGGATGACTCCTGCATGCTGAACTAATACATGTTCTAGACTCTGTTTCGAGCAGGCACAGAAGACTGTCAGCCAATACAGCCAACGTGAAACTACTGCGGATCCACCAAAACGTGACTAGCACGCCATAGAGATCATACTCCGGAACAAAGTACTCAAGTACTGCTTGTTCTAGACTCTGTTTCTCTGAGGTAGATGTGTTCACACATTTAAAAAGAAAGTCTATCTGATTTCATTTGCTTCTCTTTTGGAAATGATTTGTAGAAATAATCAAATTCTTGGTCAAAACTAAGATACATTCAGTACATTAAATCACTTTCTGTCTACTGAAACTACAGTGACGACAATAATTAGACGAGATCTACAATTCAACCCCCCGGCCTCATATCTAACCCAATGGCGCATGGGCGAGAAATCTCCCATAGAATTTAAGAATGTTCTGTTCAAAATTTTCAGGAGAAATGACAGGTAATCAGAGCTCCCCAACCTTATCAGCGTACACTTCTCGGGTTTGGCTTAGTGATGGTCTCAAGAAGCCTGTACATCCAACGATCAAGCATTCCTGTCGATGGGGCAAGAAAGAAATAGGCATACAGAAGGTTAGGCAAATGCATCTAAAAGGAACTGACAAACACGGGGCAGTTGAAGAAGAACCATCAACAAAGCACTACTTTCACGCATAAATTGCAGGCACAATTTCAACACCAGTTAATTCCCATAAGTTACGCATGATTCATTACATCAAATATTACGTATTCACCATCATTAGCAGCAATACAATGAGGAAGAGAAGAGTTTAATATCTAGCTAAGTCCATGACTTTCCATGCTTATCATATTTCCAAGAGAGCCACTCTCAAGACCTTAAGTTGATTCTATAGCAACCCCATTCAAATTCCAGTCCAAGGGTACTCATGGAAGTTATTCTAACCCACATCAGGAAGAGGGCGAGACCTACCTGTCAAAGCAAATGTACCGCCAAGTACAGCACAAAGCCGAGTGATGAAATGAAGAAAACTACGACGTTCTTCTCTGATAGTCACAGTAATGGGTGATAGATCATACAGGAAATAAACCGCTGAACCAAGAAAAAGCAGAGAAGTTTCATTAGAAAAGAATAGAGGAAAAAGGCAAGATTAATATCTACATTTGAATAGTCACAAAATAAGTCAAATGACATGCCTTGAGCACAACACAAGCTCACACAAACGAAAGGATAGAGACAAAAGAAGTCTAACCTGGCCATGTCCTGTCATACTCATTCATTGGCGAAAAGTATTCTGTAACAGAAAATTGATTTGTCGGCAAAACCTCTTTTGAAATGTATCTATATTCAGTCGGGACTATCTGCAATGCAGTTACAGAAGCGAGCACAATTAATAGTCTAAAATAGAGCTATAACATGGAAATGCTTATGAGAGAAGTAAGCTTCCATGCCACAATTCTGCACTTTTAATCTGAAATGCTTTCCTCTTAATTGGCTATTTCATGGAAAGAGAACACATAAATATCACCTAGATAATTCAGCACTTCACAAGAAGAAAATCCAAGTAGTAGAACAAAAGAAGACTCGAAAGAATGAAAACCTAGGATGACGACAGCACCAAATAATTGACAGTGAAAACTTAACCTGAGCCTTGAGTGTATAAAGAGCCACATGAAGACACACCCCACCCCCCAAAAAAAATAAAAAAAACACACACACACAAAGAGGGTAATGAAGTCAGACAATACAGACAAAAGTAAGATCTCTTTCCCAGGAAAGACATTTTTTGCTATCTTGTTTCTAGCTTCTACTTCAATTTTTTCATGCTTCATGTCAAGTCATTTCACAGCCTTGACCCCATATTAATTCTAGTTCCTGCCAAAATGCTTTTATACCTGATGAAAGACATCTGAAATCCAGACTCCATCCAAATTGAAAGGTTTATGGAATCATACCTTAATATAATACTTGAAAGTTCCGCTCGCCTTATGTAGAATTCGCACATTCCCATCAAGTGGATTGTGGAGTCCCGGATACTTTGGGCCAAATGACAGATCGTGGATGATGTGACTAACATTTACATGCATAGCTCCTTCAAATATCTGCACTAACATATTACTTCAGCTTGGATAATACTGCTAAAGCTCCAAAAAAGAGCAAAAGAAAACAGTCTCTCAGCTAATAATGTTTCTTAAGGCTCAACAGAAGCATCTAAGACAACTTGTAATATAAAATTCAACCCACTCTCAAGTTAAAGCTTCAAGCTTAACATACACCAACTAGGCGATTGTTGGAGTTGACCTACATCAGACTTGTTGCACAAAAGATCAAGTATGCTCTAACAATCTTCTTTTTCTTCTTCTTCTTTTGAAGTTTTACATTAGGATACAATGGAAACAAGAAAAGGAAGATTCGTTGAACAAACTCTAAACATTTGAAGAGAACATTAGGTTATGAAGGTACAATCTCAATAAAACATTCAATTAGAAAGGTTCTTAAGTAGCACGAGCAGTTAATAGAAAGATCCTCAGAAGTCCACCCACAATAACAAAGTTACATTTTTTATCCATCGACTTACCTAATTGTTAAGTGCATTAAATATCCTAAAAAATTTATAATGAAGTGCAATCGAGTTCTAAAACTTTCAAATAGTGCAATCAAGTTCTAAAACTCGTTCATTTGTACAATCACGTACTTCCGTTAGCTCCGTCCAATTGATTGATGAAAATTCTGATGTGAATTTTTTTAACATATTTTGATGACACATGGTGTAGATGTGGCGTCAAAGGGTGCCATGTCAAAGAAAGGCCATAACTAAAAATTAATAAAACCAAGAAAGAAAAAAAAAAGAAAATCAAAAGGAAAGCCAAAGAAAATGAATATGGAA